AGTCTTCTGAACCTTTTCTTTACTGCTGCTGCTCCATCCGTCCTTCAGCCTGGAGCTTGGCAGAAGGTCTGTGGGCTTCAGCCCAGCTCCAGAACAGGAAGCTGTCTTCTCACTCCCTCCCTTTGTAAAAACACACTTTTTTAATACATCATCTTTGATAGTAAGTAGGAGATTGTCATTGTGTGGCCACACATCTACACAGTTTAGAGGGAGCATTGGACCCAACCCATCTGAGATGGGGAGGTTACTTATTCAGAAGATTTCTGATTTGAGGATTACACCAACTTCAGCTCTTAATGGGGTGGTGCTTTCCTATGGAGAACAAGCCCATAGTTTGAGGATCTTTCTGGACTCATGGCTCCTGCTGGAGAAGCAGGTGGAGCTCATGACAAGGAGGGGTGTTTCCTAGCTCTGACCGGAATGACAGGTATGGTTTTATGTAGAACAGGAAGCATTGAAGATTGGCACTCATGCCTTTATCCCATCCTGTCTGGATTGCTGTTATTTGCTTTCCATGGGGCTTCCCTTGAAGACCACCCAGAAACTTCAGCTGGTGCAAATGCAGTGGCTGACACGCTCACCATGCAGCCTCATTGCACCAATGTAACACCAATGCTGCAAAAGTGCTGTTGGCTTTCAGGATGTTTCCAAGTGCCATTCAAAGTGATGGTTATCAGTTGCAGAGCCCTACATGGTTCAAAGCCTGGATATCTAGGAGACCATCTGTTCCCGACTGATTGTGCCTGCCTAGTCTGAGCCTAACGTAGTTCCTCATCTATTGAGAGGTGTGATGGGAGGGGCTCCAAAATCTGGCATTCTCTGGGGACTCCCCCCAATGCAAGGCTATAACTCCCCAAAAGCTTGTAAAACTGGTGTAGAAGGCCTTTAAGAACTTGATTGGTGCACCATTTGTGATTGTTATAATAATAAATACTATATATTTTAAAAAGCAATTTACAAATCTTATAAATAAATAAGTACACATGATCCAAAAAATGAATTTAAAACTCCATCGTGCCCTGATTGGAGTTGAGCTAGAGGAAGCTTAAAACTATTTCCTTTGTATTCCCATTTCAGTCTCTGTGTGTTTAAGGCTGGAAAACAGATTTAATTATAGATTGAGTATCTTATCCAGGTATGGGTATTATATGGAACCACAGTCCTGGTAAGCAGACTTAGAGCAAATTATGGATTAAGCACTTTGTATTTGAACCCACAATCTGGGTTTTACAGTAGATCAAACTATATTAGGATGTAGGGTCAAAACTGGTGAGGGAGTATTGAACAGCTGAACATGTTTTCAGTAAGTTGTTTCCACTTCTTTTGTCGCTTCTAAAATGATTACTATTGTTAGATTTCTATTCCGCCTTTCCTCCAGAAGTGCAAGGCACTGTATAGAGTGCTCTCTCCTCCATTTTTCCTCACAACAACCCTGTGGTTAGGAGTATATGTGGCCCAGAATCACCCAGCAAGCTTCCATGGCTAAGGGTAGATTTTAACCTATTTATCATTGCTTCTTGTTGGGGTTTCAACTTTTGAAGGTTGATGAACAGGATTTGTGTTTTCTAAACGAAGAGAAGGTAGGAATGTCAGTGTTGCAAGCTGGTACAAAGATGTGTATAATAAATAGAAGTAGCTTGCTATAAAAATTAATGCAAGGCAGTTTGATTTAATTTGGTTATGTCCCATCAAGTTGGTGTTGACCCTTAGCAACTAGATAGATAGACCTTCTCCAGGATGATCTATCCTCAGTCTGACCCTTCAGGTCTTCCAAAAGTGTGCCCATCACCACTGTAAACAACTCAAGCCACCTTACTGCTGGCTGTTGTCTTCTCTTTTCTTCCACCTTTCCCAGCATTATGGGCTTGTAAGGGGAGCCAGATCTTCACATAAAGTGTCCAAAATAGGATAACTTGAGCCTGATCATTAGAGTGACTTGTTCTATGACAAAGCAGTTCGCTAATTTAATTGATGTGGGTTTGCTATGATTTGCCAACTGGAAGTAAGTCAGATCACAGTTCTGAGAAAAAGGTTTGGAAGCATAAAGTTTTGAATCTTTTGGGACTTCATTGTCTCAGTCTTGTAGAGGACATGTTAAGCCAATACGTGTAGGTTTAAATGCTTAGCCACAAAGATTTGGATAATTTTGAGTCAGTTTTTTTTAATGCATCTGCTGTTGCACGCATCATTTCTATTTGTTAATTTAATAAATTAACATTTTTTAAAAAAATTAACGATTCATTTAGTTTCTGCAGTTTGCCTTCCATTTTGGACATCTTTTTTTAACCTGCAATTATTAGAAGTCCCATGATACAGTTTCTGGCTAAAGTTCTCATCTTTCATTGGAATACAACACTCCTACTGCTCTATTATATCTTTTTTCCTTTAGGCAATGGTACATTAAGGTTTTCCTTTTAACGTTTGTGCCTAGAATGTTGCAAATGGATATTGGAAAAGATGAAATGTTCTGGTAGGGCTAAGTAGGTATTTTCAAATACATCTGTTGTGGCTAGATTACGTATGAAATTTTGGTTGGCATGAAGAAGTGAACCCTGAAATGAATTTCAGACTTGCTGCAAAGAATCGAGTGATCATCTCCTAATTCAGAGCTGGATTTTCCCAGTCTACTGGGTCATACGATAAAGCATCAGCTGGCATCAAAGATACTTTCTGGGCCAAAGTTACCATTATTATGCTGGTTTTGTTCATTGTCAGTGTTTTTATTCATAATCATATGAAAGGCTTTCGATGGCAGGGAGTCCTTTATTCTGTCTTGGTATTTGGTTCACTTTCAGGGTTGGTAGAGTTCTACATAAACCAATTTCTTTCTTTTTCGCAGAAATGTGTAGTATCAATGACTACGGTTGATAAATTGGCCAGCTCATGCAGATTACTAAGCCATAATGTGATTTGTTTAGTTTCGGCTTAACATATGGAACAAACCCAGCCATGATGGTTTCTAAACTGTGGGTCACTGGTTTAGCTTGTGTGGTTTATCAAACAAAACATTGGTAAGGAATGTTTTGCTTAGGAGGTGTGTGATCTCTTTAATTATGTGGATGGATTTCTACCTTGAATAATTGAAGACCTTGTTATTTTGCTCAGCTTGTATTTTTACAGTCGTGTTGTCAGAAGTTTCTAAAATTGGATATGAATATAGAGATTTGCTGACAATCCAGCAGTCCTGGATGAATTTTGTGACTGATTTGAGGTAAGAGATGTCAGGACCCAGATAGAGGCTGAAAGAGTTCAGCCTAACTTGGTGGACCTACCTGAATAAAAGAGCAGGAATGCTGAGAATGTAAACATCCATCTGCCATCAACATACAGCTTGCGGGTAGAGATAAGAAGAACTCCTGTCTTCTCCTCTGAGAGGGCAGTGCTCTAAGGCAGTGTGATGTATTTGAAAGTAACGAGTATAAATTCTGTATACCATTCCCTCTCAGTCAGTAACTATCATCTATTTTACATGACTACTATTCCTGGAATAAAATAACTAGCTATGTTTAGCCCTGTCTCACTAAGAGCCTGACAGATAGGAAGAGAGCAGGAGAAGATACTGAAAAGCATTTTTGTGGAAAAGGCTGAATAGGACAGGGAGGGTTGGGGGATTCCCCAATAAATAGGTGTTGGAAAACTTACCTCTTGTCCTCCATACTTTACTTTTTGAAACTCATTTTTATCAGTGATATTTTTCTTTTGGGAGATTCTTTCATCTTGCTATAGGGGGGAAGAGACTTTAGCTCCCCTCTCTCTTCTCTGCAAAGCTGCATGTAATCCCCCTTGCCCCAGTTTAGCACACCTCCAGTCTAACTGTGCTGATATCTAATTGCAAAGTTCATATGCTGAATTTAAGGGCAGGGGAAGGGATTGCAACGAGCTGAATTTCGTATTTTGATTCATCCCAATTAAATTTTGGCTTTACGTTTTTGGATGACTCTTGTTCAACTAAATCAGCTTACTCTTCAGTTTGGCCCTTTTTTCTTTTCTTACAGGTTACTTATGTGTGCAAATACTTATAGACATGGTTTTACTAGAAAAAGTACCAGCTCTGAAATAAATGTTAGAAATTCTGAAAATTAAAGCCAAAGGTAACTAGAATAAACCAAAACGAACCCGTGAAATATTAGAAGAATGGATCAATGGCCATCTATTGACCCCTATTAGAAATGGGCCAGTGGATCATCATGTTGGTTGGCTAAATATTTCTGGAGAAAAAAATCCCCAGGAAATGTTCAGCCCTCCTTATTTTCCAGCTGGCCTGCTATGTTCAAAATCTCCATTGCTAACCTGAAATGTTGACTATCCAGTAATACATTTAATACTCTTCGATTTGGGTTCTTAATGATGACTCTGAATTACTGATCCTCTGTGATTTAGTTTTGGGAGCAAAAACTTGTATTTCTCATGGCTGATCATTTATGTGAAATATTTGTATCCTGCCTGCCAAATTGTGATTCTAAGGCAGTGTTGTCCAAACTTGGCCACTTTAAGATGAGTGGAATTCAACTCCC